CTAAAACACAGACAGATGCACACACTACATACATTTCACCACCAACAAAGCTACACAATTCGTAACGGAGGCCGAGATCTATGGCCCCAAAGATCACCTCCGTTACAAGCTCTCACATAGTTTGTTTCTTTTTGAAACTTGCATACACCACATTTCTGAAATGCTTGTAGTCACTGTGATGTCGGCCATTGGTTTGCTTGGTGGATGTATAAAGAGAACTGAATACAGCGTTGGAGGTGGAGGACCATTCATTTCTATGAAAGTTGCTCAGTGGTGCATGGAGCCGTAAAGCTGCAACGATTGTAGGTCATACAAGTATACGGATCATAGAACATCCACACTTACGTTTTCCTTAAGAACCCCCCTCTGATCACCTGCTCTCGGCTCAGGTCAAATGAATGGAGAGATTTAAAGAACAGCTATACATGTCTTTATAGATTCATAGGTTTAGATTTGCAGTCGCTTCTTTCCCAATGTAAGTCAATAAGTAAAAGTATTTTTTGGCCCATATGACGTCACGGACTAGAACGGGGGTGTAGTACCACCGTTTGGCCACTAAGGTTATTTGCTTCAATGGCTGGCGCTATATTTTTGTTCTTCATAGCTGGTCTTGGATAGTTATTTGTTCAAACTCGTGGTGTCATTTGACTTGTAAGAATACTGCTTTGATCTCAGAAGCTTCTGTAAAGCTCAGTCCTGCCATTAAAAGTGTGGCCTGATCCGTGTTCTATCCCATGGGTCAGAAAGAAAGAAAACTCAATGACTTTGACAGACTGAAACAAAAGCATTTCCCTAACAAGACATGGATGTTCCATTTATTTTGCACTGTTAAGCCTCCAACAAAATCTGCCTGCCGTTATTAGCCTGAGTGCTACTCTTCCAGAGCGGCACTCGGGCACAGGTAATCCCACACTACTTCGGGTGGAGATTTACCATTTTCCACCACTCTACCTCTGTTGGGCTTGGTGTCAGAGTCACTGAGCAAGCTGATAGTGCCACACAGCTGTCAGCTGCTGCACTAAAGGGTGACTGAATTATACATTCATAAATGTCACAATCTGCTCCTCTCATACTTTATTTTGGAAGTCCTTGAAGAGAAAATTCTTCAAAAAGGGAAGTAAGTGGTGCATCTTTAACATGTGTATCACGGTGGGAGTCCATGTGTCTGTCTGGCTCTCTGAAGTGTTTTACCTTTTGGAAAGGATCATTTTTCATACTAAGCTGACAGCTAGCTTGACCTCAGTGCAGCATGCTAATTTGATTGTGATACTGGATATTTTCTCTGTATATTTATTTGGTTTGATTCTAAGTAGGCATAGCCCCCTTTCATGCATTATAAATATATACGACACAGTACTGTAAATGACACTAGGAGAGGTCGGTCTAAGACCACCAACGTTGAAGTAAATTACACTCATATTTGTCACATTGTGTTATTAGATTCTCAGCGTGCATCATTTCCTCCTCCTTTCTTTCTAGAATTGATCTCACCATGCCTTCTGTTCAAACTCACATATTCACAGAATCTACTTGAATAAAATACAAAATACCTAGCTTGTTATTCCAACATATTTTCTTGCACATTTCACTTGATTCTCTGGAGAGATGCAAGAGAAAAAAGATTCTCTACCCACCTTATTTCACGCTGACTGAGACAAGACTACACAGACATGCTCCTTGCTTTTATGTTTGTTGGCTTCATTCTCCGTCTGTCTCTAGATTTTCATAAACCAACAAAACTGCCTGAGGCATGACTAACAGAAAAATACATAGTTGTGGCGGCACAGGTGCTACAAATGACCTTTGGTGTGTATGTATGTACTTCATTGTGCATCTGTGTGCATGTTTTTGCATAATGATTTTGCTGGCTGCTGGCCCTTTGCAGATAAAGCCTAGTCTTCTGGGTGGGGGGGCACTTGTGGGGGGCTTCTATTGCCTTTCTGCTATGCCAGGGGGCTTAGGGAGCTGAATGGACCCCTAGGCATCAGCCCAACACAATTAGGAAGCCTAGGCAAACAGTGCCCACCTTGTTTGTATTGTTCTGTTATGGGTTTAAATATCCAAACCATGTTCAATTGTGCTTGAATGAAATATTCATGCATGTTTTTTGTCACAACTACTTGAGCGATTTACCCTATTATTACTCATTGTATTTGTGGGCAAGTGGGCAATGCTTATCTTTGAGCCCTGACATACAGCATGGGGGGCAATATGTAAATAACATATCATAGGTCTTAGTATTGCAGATAATAACTTTGTTCTGGTATGCTCTTATAGATAGTGCTTTTAAAGATTCATTTCACCACATTTGCATAATTTTGCTTGCATTTTTGTATGAAAAAAAGCGTAAAAATGTCATTGTGGTAATTCGGTGATGTTGGTTTCCAAATATGAATCTTAATAGTTTGTTTGAGTCTGACTTTTCATCGAGGGCCAAATTGTGTCAACTACGAAACATTTGCAAAATCTTTTTTGTCCTATTTACTAGATATTACATTACGATAATAGTTTCTGGCTTATTATCAGCATGTTAACATTAACAAGAATATAAGCTTGCTGTACAGAGCAGAGATTTAGACTTCTCAGATAGATAACTTCAATAAAATATGCCAAATAAATACCCAACTGCATAGCTATGTATGCTACGGGTAAATGGGAATGCATGTGCGTTGTGTGAACTTTCCTGATAAGGTCTGATTTATATTTCCTCGTGTTTTTGCCTGACACAACATCTCACATTTGACCATTACATAAACTCCTGTTGGTGCTTTTGTTTAAACATAAGATGGTGTGGGAGTTTCTGAGTAGGATTTGTAGGTTTGTAATTACCTGCCTGTACAAAACAACATCTTGGCACTTGTCCTTTTAGCTGGATTTAATTAATGGCAGCATTAAAGGAAAGGCAGACAAAGGAAGCAAATGGAAGGAACAAATTGCAGCTAAATTGATTTGAATAGTAAGGCCTTATCTCAGCAGTCCATTTATTGACAATGCTACAATGCAGGTAATGCTTTTGTCATACCTTTTCAGTGTTTTATGCTATGCCCACACACTTATTAAACACTTTTGGCTGAAGTGAGAGGGTTGTCCTCCACCTCTTGAATAATATTTTACTTAATAATGCTTTGCGTACAACAATACATGTCACCAGCGGATCAAATTCTTACCCCTTCCACAATGTGTGAGGTGTTATCTATCCGGGTAAACACTTGTCTGTGTGGGATTTATTGGTTGCAGCGGGAGCGTAGGAGCTCATCACTTTCGTGCATGGTGGCGATTATGTGCTTTACAGGGCTATCGGCACATTAAAGCCTGACCTACTGGAGGCTGTGTGAGATAGTGTTTGCAGTAGACATGAAAAGACAGCAGACACACAGTAATAAAACAGGAAAACAGTCATTTACATTAATGCCACATTCTCTTTATCCTCTTTTTGGGTTGTTTGCTGTTCGAAACACAATCCTATTTTGGGTTTAGGACTAATTCATTTGAATTGGATCTAGATTTAACAAATAGTAACTCGTGTAGCTTGTTTTGTGGAATCTAGTCTAGGGTCTTACATATATACACAATACCGGAGAAAAAAAGGGGAGAAAATGAGTGAGTGTGTGGGCAGGGTTGGAGGTGCGCTGGATTTGCTGTGTTGGGGGATTGGAAAGAGATGGAAGGAATGTAAGATGTGCATTGGAGTTGTGTACCTGGATCTCATTAGGGAGGTTTGCTTTGTCCGCTGGCTCAAAGGGACTCATTGCTGCACAGTTTCTTTCAGAAGACCAGCGTGATTGACATCTCAGCAGTGTATAAGGCATTAGAGGTGATATTGTGGTTGTTAGTGTGGGCAGCGATGGAGGTATTGATTCGTATTTCTATAGCAGGTTTAAGAATTTCAGAGACTGTTGACAAAGTGGCTCCAAATGGTAAACTCAAAGCATAAATAAATGTATACTCCAGTAAGATAAGAGGATAGGGAGTAATGGCTCCTGTTGAGGAAAGGTATCTTTTCTCAGCTTAAAATACCAGTACTATGGAAAATAAACAGCTACATAAAGGCTATGATTACATTTTCCATGTCAGAATCCTGTTAATGGCAAAGAAAGTGTTCACATACAAGAAATTGCTTTGGTGTATTGATGTGTTGGGAAAAAAACTAAAGAAATACATTTCATATATATAAAGAAATACTATGAAAATATACGACAATATGTGTATGGGATGTGCAAAGTTCACATTATGAATACAATAATACAAAAATATATGCCATATACAGAGTGTGTAACGTATACATATCAAGACAGATTAGAAGATATTAATGTAACATGACTGACTATTGGGAATGGGTAGATTTTTAAAAGATATTTCACGAGGAATAGAACCATATAGAAAAGTGAGCATTGGCAAAAATCATAATATATTTGTGGACTTCTTGTATTCAAACCCTTAGTAGAAGTTTCAGACACTAGTGAACATTTAGATTAATAAAACAAATGCCACCCACATATTTTGTCGGTGGAGCCTCAGATAAAAACGTAATCCAATTATAATCCACCCTTGAAGCTTTTCTCTAAAACTGCATATTGATATGTTTGTTCAAACACATGTTTTAGGGCGAGACATGTTTTGAAAGATATAACTTCCCGAGGATTTCACACGTCAGCACTGTTTTTTTAATTTACAATGCCTCACGGGGTTCCAACTGCTGAAACAAAAGCAACATTTTTTATGAGGGACTTCCGATTGTTTGGTAATTACATTGTCAAACTGGATTAATGTTAATACATGGCACTTGCACAGCAATAATAACACGCCGTGTCTAATTCCTTTAGAGCTGCAGCTGTTTTGATTAGTACTAGTCTTTATTACATGGGAGGATAATTTGATGATTTTTCCTATGGGTCTTTGTTGTGTTTTGATAAATGCAGTCTCAAAAACCTAATTTGGCAGTAAAGTGAAAACATAGAACTAATTATCTCTTTTGCTTTTGTCTTATTTGCACCCTCTAGGGTCTCGTCTTCGCCAGGAAGACTTCCCTCCCCGCATTGTGGAGCACCCATCTGACCTCATTGTGTCCAAAGGGGAACCAGCCACTCTCAACTGTAAGGCCGAGGGCCGCCCGACCCCCACGGTGGAATGGTACAAAGACGGCGAGCGCGTTGAGACGGACCGCGACAACCCCCGCTCCCACCGCATGCTGCTGCCCAGCGGCTCCCTCTTCTTCCTGCGTATCATCCACGGGCGACGGAGCAAGCCCGACGACGGCAGCTACGTGTGCGTGGCCCGAAACTATCTGGGCCAGGCCATCAGTCACAACGCGTCCCTGGAAGTAGCCAGTAAGTCCCGTTTACTCTTCTGGGTGTTGACTTGTTACAGGTCATAGATCTTTCATAACACACATGTGCACACATTATTCGAGCAAGGTTTTGAAAATACACATAACATGTACATTGTAGAAGTATACCAAGTTTCTTATTTTCTTATAAGGGTTAATACTGAAGTGGAGGTTGCATTTACCAAATATTTTTGTTAAAGTGGCCAAATCGTGCTCTTCTTATTTTTCCCTTTCCTGTAGTGTTATATAGGTTTGTGTGCATGTAAATGGTCTGCAAAGGCTCAAATCCAAGTTCACTCCAGAGGGAGTCCCCCCCCCTGCCTGAAACGCCTCCATTGTAGTCCTTTGTTTACTTATTTTACATGATGACATCACCATGTCACGCTTACGCCTCTATTGGCTAGTGCTCCAACACATTGTACGTGATATGCTAAGTGCAGGACATCTCTAAGCTGTTGACCAATCACCACAGAGCCGGCCAGCTAACCAATCAGAGCAGACTGAGCTCTGGTTTCCGACAGAGGGTGAAAAGAGGTGCTGCAGCACAGGCAGTATGAGAAAATTAAAGAGCTTTTTGAACATTAAAGCATGGAAACATGTCACAGTGGAGGGACACAATACAAATATGAACCTGTAAATTAGAATAGGCCTCCTTTAACAATGACCGAATAATCTAAAGAGGGTCTGGCATTTTGACAAATTAGAACACAAATGTCATACTCTGCTCACTGAGTGATGACATGAAAAGGTCTCTGTTTTCTCTCCATGCCATTTTAAATGCAAAATCAGAACTTGTTTGTATAATAAATAAAGAAAGAAAGACACACACACAGTGAGCTTCACAGTTCTCGTTAATTGTAAAATCAACAATATATTGTGCTTTATACCTTTTTTATCCCTTTATTGGCATTCGGCCTTTCAAAAACAGCAACCGCACTGAAGGCTGCACCTCTAAGATTATTTACAGACATTCAAAGCTTTGTTCAGAAGCTTCAGTAGAAAACTTCCAATGTAAAAAAAACGCAGACAGTGAGGAGAAATGTGCTGATTTCTTTTCAAAACATTATTAGATTTAAATGACAGACTTTACATGGTAAGCCTATGTCTAACTGTCATTTATACAATCAAAAGAATATATATTATGACAATATTTTAGGATCCTGTCCATCAAAATAACTGACAATGAGACAGTCTAATGCAGCTACTGCCTATCTTTAATAACCAGGCACGATATACAGATAATAACTGTTTGAGCTCTCATCTTAAGCATTTTAATTGATTTCCCAATCTCTCAATGTGCATGATGATTGTGGTGATTTAAATATCCATCTTCAAAGAAAGTCATATTTTTTGAAAATGTCTGAAAATACTTCCTCAACATGACCTTCAAACTGCCTTTTTGTTTTGAGGAAATACTTTTCATCTCACATCACAGTCCTGATAAATTTACTTTGATTTGAGTGTCTTCTTACAACTCAACCAATAGCATTGATCTAAATAGACATGAAACATTATGTACATCTTAAAGCCTGTTCAATTGTTACTTTGCTTCCTTGCATTTTATAGCTAAGGGACAGGTGTACGTTAACAATGCGACCCTCCTGTCAGAGAGGCGGCAGCTGTGTCTCTGCTTTGGTCCCCAGGTTTTAACAAGTGCTGAGCGTGTTCCTAACAGGTGACAGTAGTGTCAACTCGCTGATTCCTGGAGCTCTAAGTGTCAAGTGTGTGCTGTTGCCATTTAAAACAGCCTTTCATTGCAAATTGTCTAAGGCAGGAATCTGTCAGGTTGCATGCAGCAGCCAATCATATGTGTGTGTGTGTGTATATATACGTTTGCTAAGGTGATGGAATGTGTAGAAGCAGGCAGAGGGCACGAGATCATATGGTTTGTGTATCTGGTAAAAAACAAGAGTTAAGTCCTGGGGCCTCAAATATAAAGCTTTGCGTAGGATTCACGTGGGAAGGTGGCTTACGTAGGACAAAGCAAATAAATACGGACACAAATATTCCGATTTATAAAACACTGCGCACGCACGTCCTACGCCGGTTTCCCTTTTATAAATCACAATCAACTTGAAATGCGGCGCAGCTTTTGCGGGCTTCACGTAACGCCCATATTTGCCTATGAATAGTCACAGAAACGCTCCGTATTAATATTAATTTAGACTGACTGCATGAAGAAGATCACAGGAAATGACGACAGAACAGCTAAAAAAGACATTTCACACCGTGTCAGAGGTCGGTTCTTTTGGGGAGGTGGAGACAAATCACATTGTTTGGTGGATGCAGTTTGAACCAGAGATCCAGAGCATGGAGGTCGGATCGTCACCAAAATAAATAAATAAGTGGTCCGAAAAAAGTTAATGACAAAACAAATAAACATAACCTTCCTCAGGCAGTGTGTCAGTGTGTTTGTGCCGGGGACAGGAGACACCCCCATGATGAGAAACTGTAAGAAATTATTGGAGTCATGACGACTTGATCTGAATTTTTATTTTTTTATTTCGTGGTTTGTGTTCCAGCTGTCAATCAGCTGTGCGCAGCGTCTCCACTGCACCCTTTGCATCTCAACCCCCCTGCAGCAACTCTATCCACCAGTTAAAGGAAATAAAACAAATGTGTTGTGTTGTATTAGCTGTACAATTTACCACATATGGTGTTCTTAGTTTCCATACCTCCGGTGTTTTATGAGCGACTTATCAAGTATTGGATGTTATTATCAAAACATGATTAAACATAGAGAATACATTTCTTAACAAGAGAAAATAATCGAGGGGTGATCAATAACATTTCCGTATTTATTTATTTCTCCAAGTTATGTTTTTGTGTGCACTGAGGGGTCTCAAACGGACATTTGTTTAATCATTTTAAGATTGGATTTAATAATTTTTTGAAAATGACTTCTTCATATATGATACATGAGGTACTATTTTAATTTATGGTATTATTTTTACATATTTCTCTCCATTCTTCCTTCTGCCAACGGTGTCGCAGTTTCTCGTCTCTCCCGTTTTTCATGGGTCAGAGTTTGCGTGGAGGACCACACATTTTCCCGTCAAGTTTGTTTTTTATAGATTGCTTAGAAACTGAAGTACGCCATCTTTTGAGCGTACGCAACGTTTATAAATGAGACCCAAGGACTTTCCACATGCAATGGTGTCTAACTACCTTTGGCCGCGTTTTGTTACACGGCTTGGTGAAATACTCAATTCTGATTGGTCACTTAGGACATTCAAAGTGCTGTTTTGTGATTGCAGATTGCTGCTAAAGTTAGCAGACGGTGGCTTAGGACGCTCTTATCGAAGGACTGTTTGCAGTCATATCACTCGGCAGAAAGAAGTCTGGTCAATTTAATGTCTGTTGTGGCCATACAAAATGTATTGGTTTCCATCAGTCAGAAAACAATATTGAATACTTTTTGAATACTTATATATTTGTGGAGGGCAAAACACTGTGGTTTCGCAATTGCTAAACTGTCCCCAGAAAATAAAAATAAAAAGAGGACATAAATCAGCAGAAGAAGACAGACAGGAAGTGATCTCTAAAGGGACACTGTATGGGCTCTAGCAGTTTTTAAAGCATGGGATATTAGTCTTAAGTTACACTCTGATTGGCATTAAAACAATTCTTACAAGTCTCACTTGCCTTAGGAACCATGTTTTACAGAAATTCACTCTTATTTAACGCAACCAACAAGGTTGTTCTAAGGATGAACATTCGTGATTATCCCGTGAGTAGCTCACATATTGGTTCTTAATCAAATGAGTTATAAAATAATGCATTGTTAATAAAGATAATCACTTGCTAGTTCATTTGTTAAACCTATTGACATCTATATGGCACTTACGGAGAATGCAGTGCTTTCAATCAATGCAATTCTTAATGTATTTTTTTTCAGTTATCTTGTTAATGTTTGTCAAACACTGAAAGCAACTCTCCTCTCTCCACTCAGAATGACTCAACCTCAAAAGTATGTCATTAGAATCAAATAGATCACAATAAAGTAGTCGGCATTTGGAAAGACTCTAAAGTTAGGACATTTTGTTGATAGGGGTTAACAACCAATGCCAGGCCTTCACTCTCTGCAAAGCCCCCCCATCCTTATACTGTCCATCCCCTGCTCTGCTCTGCTGTGTCAGCTTACCCAGGCTCTGTCTCCTGGGCAGATATTCCGCAAAGGTTTTAGAATAATAACACCCCTCTAGTATCCGTTTCACCTTTTGCATTATAATGAAAGAGATGGTCAATCGTATCACGGTAATGCCAGATCAGCATTTTAAACCCAGAGAAGCTCGGCCCTCAAGGGATAGAGTTTATTACTCTGGAGTTCACTAAATTTGCTGTCAGGTTTTAAGGTCGAGGGAGGAGGTGGGGGGGGGGGACACACAGAGAGGACTTGTTGAAGCTGCCTGGATGAGTTATGTCTCCCTGCTTCATCCTGCAGAGGTCACGCAGATTCATGGATCAGCCTGGGGCTGGAGAGTTAAACAGAACCCCCTTTAGCTAAAGTGCTGAGTTGGGGAGTTTATAAGAAGACTGGGGAGTGTTAAAAGAAGGCGTGACCTTACTCTGTCAATACACCAATGTGTCAGGTCATGTGTCTGGTTTTGTTAATGTGTGAGTTGTTAGTTTTCTGAAGGGTTTTAATTGCTTAAAGGTGGCTTTGACTAAAAGGGACGGTGTTTGAATAATGACAGCTTTTCATTTGTTATGGCTGGTTATGGATACTCTGTTGTACACAGTAAGTGGATGCTTTTGGAATAATTTTCTTTGACGAGCACCATTTTTTTTCACACACACACACACACACACACACACACACACACACACACACACACACACACACACACACACACACACACACACACACACACACACACACACACACCATCAAGTATCATCATGAAACGTATGAAGTATGTCATTCGAAAATCACACAGGCAATAATACTGTGTTATGACACTTATAGTAACAGAGCAGAATAATGGAAGGCATACAACT